TTGTGATAACTTACACATAACATAACTGATCTATAACCTGTTGTGTCCTTTGATAACGTTCCTCACTTTCCACAACTCCACCAATTTTCATGTTGTCTGCAAAATTACTAATCAGACCACTTACATTTTCATCTAAATCACAGATTCTGGGAAAGTCCCAGAGGATCAGAAACAACCAACATAACACCTTTATTTAAAATGAGAAGAAGATAAATAATGGGTAACTATAAGCAAAATAACTTAACATCTATTACTGGGAGAATGTTAGACTCTGTTATGAAAGATGTAATAGCAGAGTACTTAGAAGTACACAACGTGTTCAAACACAATCAGTATGACTTCATGAATGAGAAGTCATGCCTGACAAATTTTCTGGAGTTATTTGACAAGGTAACACCAGGGCACATAAAGCTGAAGCATCAGATGTTATAAAACTGGATTATCAGAAGGCATTTGGTAAAGTACCACACATTAGGCCATTTAATACAACAGCACACTGTGTTGGAGGTAGTATATCAAAATGGATAGAAGATTTGTAAACTAATAGAAAACAGAGTTAAGATAGGTACGTTCCTAACCAACTTGCTCGTAGATGTTATCGCACATCTCTGGAGTAGGTTGGACTTGAATCTTGGCCTCCTAGTTTAGAGGTAAGGACACTACCATTGCACCACCAGAGTCCCTACAGAGCTGGGTAAGGGGGCATTTTTACCTTGGCAATCCGTAACTAATGAAGTGCCACAAAGTGCAGTGCTGCTGTCATAATTATTTATGATATAAGTTAACGACTTGGATGAGGAAAGTGAATGGACTCTCACCAAATTTGTGTATGACACCAAAACAAAAACAGTGGGAAGGCAAGTGTTAAGATGACACAAAGATTCTGCAGAGACATAGACTGATTAAGCGAATGGGCAAAATACTTGGCAGATGGAATGTGGGAATATGAAATGTTATGAACTGTGGCAGGAAGAAGAGGAGTTGACTATTATTTAATTGGAGACAGATATCAGAAAACTATAGATCAGAGAAATTTGGGAGTCTTCATCCATTAATCACAAAAAAAACTAGCAGTCATTTTAGCAAGTTCAAGTTCAGCAAGAAAGGATAATGAAAATTTGGCCTTTATTTCAAAGGGAAATAAGTATGAAAGTAGGAGATTCCGCTAAAACTATACAGGGCACTAGTTTGACCGCAGTGAGTGGTTTTGGGCTCCTTTTCCAAGGGAAGATATACTGGCATTGGAGGCAATCCAGAGAAGGCTCAGCAGTCTCTTTCACCAAGTATGGAAGCATTGTCTTATGAGGAGTAGTTTGCCTGTACTGATTGGAATTTAAAAGAATAAGAGATAACCTTATTGCAAATTACAAATTTTTTGGTGACTTTCCAAGTTAGATATGGAAAGCTTATTTCTCCTTGTAGAAGTGAAGGAACGGAGGATATAATCTTTGAAGAAAGCTTTGTGCTCAGCAGCCTGAAGGAAGAAAATGGCTTGGTAACATCATCTCAGCAGATCCCTTTATTTCAGACTGTATGACACGAAGCCCACAGATAGCGCTGTCTCACATATTATTCCTGTCCTCTATCATGGAGGTCTTAGATGACTGCCCACAGGAGAGGCTGGGCCAACCGTTACCTCTGGATGAGCTGATGACCAAGGCCCTGGACTAGGAGAAGGCCTTTGACAGGATATCACACACCTACACATGGGACGTGCTCTCCAGAATGGGCTGTGGGGAGGGAATTTGTAATTGGATCCAACTGCTTTACACCAACATCTTTAGCGCAGTCTCATCCAATGGGTAGGAATCAGAAAGCTTCCCAATCAGATCTGGAATCAGGCACGGCTGCCCACTTTCTCCTGCCTTGTTTGTGTGTTGCATAGATGCTTTTTCTGAGTCCTGAGTTTCAGGAAGGATGCAAGGCTGAGAGAGATGACTATTCCAGGCAACGGAGGCCTGAAGGTCAAAGCCTCCCTGTATGTGGATCACATCACCATTTCCTGCTTGCATCCAATCCACTGCCTTTGCACAGTCTCATTATCATCTGCGACAAGTTCAAACTGGCCTTGGCGGCCAAGAAAAATCAAGGCATGAGTGAGATCATGTTCTTTCGGAAATGGGCCAACCGATCTTTTAGCAACTTTGCCATCAGGACAGAGTACCTGAAGGTGCTGGGATTATGACTCAGAGGAGCTGGGGCGTGTGCTAAAACCTGAGAGGAACATATCGCCAAGGTGAGTCAGAAACTGGGCAGATGGGGGCTCCCTCTCCACTGTGGGCAAAAATCTGGCCATCGGGTATGAGGTACTCATTGTTGTTGTTGTATATGGCACAGGTCTGGCTTATTCCACAAACCTGCACCTTAGCAGTCACCCAAGTCATCTTCCACTTCATCTGGAGGAAAAGGATGGACTGTGTCTGAAGGGACACCATGTACAAAGCTCTGGATAAGGAGGGGGGTGGGCGAAGAACATACCCAACACCGCCCTCATCCTGAGCTACCTTTGTGTTTGGCTGCATCAAGCTGTGTGTAGACCCTTGTCACTACATACTGAGGTTCTATCTGTCCCCACTGTTGGGAAGGATGGGTCTGGCCTCATTGCTGCAGGACCCTTCAAGTAGTTCCATATCACCAGTCCTTCATGGAGAAATTTACAAAGAAAAACGCCTTTGAACACAAGTCCGTCAGGAAGAGGTCAGCACATAACGTCCTCAAGACCCCATGGGAAAAGAGGAGGGTGGATCCTGTCAGGGGGTTCCCTGAGCAGACTGTCAAAGTTATTTGGCAGAATGCCTCTTTTCCAGAACTTTCCAACAAGCACCAAGACATAGTTAGGCTGGTGGTAAGAAGGGCACTGCCCGTCAGACCCTTCATGTACCCCTGGACTCTCTCGCCACTACACGCTGCCCTCAAAGCGGGTTGCAGGGGTGACGATAGAGACTGTCACACATCTCCTTTGTAAAGAAGGTCCAGAGAGAGATGCAGTGATTTTAGTTAACGCTTTCCCTAAGCAGCTCCGTGATGCAGGACTCTGCTCTACAGTTTGTTCTCTGGGACGGACACCAAGACAAATATTGACTGCACCTGGAGAACCACCAATTCGGTGAAAAACACTCTTTGGTCTGCCCAAAACTTGCTGGTCTTTCAATGTAAATAGATGACCTTGACACAGTTGCAGATTGACACATTCCAAGGTCCAGGATTACATGCAGAGGGGCAAAATGAAATCTGGGGCAGCTGCCCACAAAGAGCAGTGGGGAATGAACACCATCTGAGGTCTTTCTGCCAGAGTATAATGAGTATATTCTGGCTCCCAAGACCAGTTTGAACTTGTCGTAGATGATCATGAGACTGTGCACTGACAGCGGATCAGATGTATAACGAGGATCTGAGATAACAAGGTGTAGAGCTGGATGAACACAGCAGGCGAAGCAGCATCAGAGGAGCAGAAAAGCTGACGTTTTAGGTCTGGACCCTTCAGAAAAGTTATCTGTTCAGTTGTCAGAACCTCCCAGTGCTTCCAAATGAACATAAACAGTTTCCAGCAGAAGTCAAAAATGCCTTTGTTTTTTGCAATTAAAGGGAAGCTCTGAGAAATGGCAAAATTCCAATGTCTAGTTTGGTTTTGCAAAGAACAGATTTTGAACATTTGTATGCGCTTATACATTTTTTATGAATACAGTATATTTTTGAAGTAAAAATGAGTAATAAACATTATAGTGGATAAAAGTAAGCGTACAATTAGACACGTGTGGTGTTCCTATCCATGTGGAATTGTTAACAATGAGGGAAGGGCAGTTTGACAATCCCTGCAATCCCTGTTGATTTTGAATTTACTGAGAACTATGTGTTATTGCGCCCTTGCCCTTTGTTTGATCAATGCATTATTTCGATACAGTTAAGGGCTTTCTTTAAAACAAAAGCAAATAATTGCCTGGTTGTACTATTTCTTAGGACATCCTGCTCTCTGAAACAACTCTGGGTCACCAACGCATCTGTGGGAGTCGAATCGCGATCTCTTTGCCAAATGATCTTGGTGATTCTGGGAGAACTGCCTCTTGGAGAAAGGGTACACACACACAGACACACACGGATCTGCTGATAGTGGGAAAGCGTGAAGTTAAATGGGAGGTCCATTCGGTTATCAGATCCTCCTTGCGCCTCAAATGCTCGTAAATAGAATCTGGTTCAAATAAGATATGCCTTTGGTTTGTTTGGATAAAGTCAAACTCCGACGTTGGTTTACTTCCTTGATATGCTACAGTACAGAACCGAAAGCGTTTGTGACTATGTACATATACAAAGGACTTTGTTTTGGACAAATAAAAGAAGTTGGGACAGCAGAGGGGAGGGCCAGTTTGCCTGCTGTACCTTCCAGAAAACCAAACACATAACGTCTCCGGGAGCACAGCCACGCAAATCAGAAAACAAACCCCACAGGCGAACGGTTCTGAAGCTCAAAGGAAACTTCCCAAAGCTTGCACGTAATGCATCGATCTTTAAATCGTGGACAGACACGCCGTCCTCTCCCACCACGTTCGAAAGTTGCAGCTCCTATTTCTGAAGTAAAACATCTGGGTGGATATTTATGGAGACTGGGCTGCTAGAAATAGATATTTACGTTCAAAGCCGGCTGACTGCTCCCTTTTGGCAATGAAGGTGCATCTGAGTCTGGGGTTTCAGCCGAGGACACGATCACAGAATCCCTACAGTGCGGAAGCAGGCCATTGAGTCCACACTGACCATGTGAAGAGTATCCCACCCAATCCCTTTAAACCCTGCGACTATCAGGGAGCGAACAGGGGACAGGGGGGAAAAGACTAAACAACGGGTAAATTAAGGGGGGGGGGGCATGAGGGGATAAGTGGGGGATTGAAAGAGGGAGCAGAAAGAGGCAGCAACCACACTCGCCAGTCAGAGAGAATTCCCTCCCCGTGGTCTGTGGGGAGTCGGGCAGCGTGCTGTGAGTGAGCTCCGTGTGGAGCAGTGACACTAACCTGCTCCAGCTCGGTGTTGTTCAGGCTTGGGTAGGTGACAGCGTGCAGCCAGTAATTGGTACAAGAAGTTAGGAAGAAGATGACCAGCCCGACGGCAGCGAACAGTCTCCCACAGTTCAGCCTCACTCGGAGGTTGTTCATGGTGGAGATGATACTGCTGCTGTGTGTGGTCGGGGGAGACTCTCCTGCTTGTAAATCTGCTGCTGGTGTATGTGTGTGTGGGTGGGTGGGTGGAAAATCCCTTTCTCCCAAACGCTGGAACTCACCGACAATGTGCTCCTCCCACACCAATCTGCATGGGAAATTCTTGAAAATCTCTCAGTCCGATTCAGTACGAAATGTTTTTCACTCCAAAAGCCTCAAAAATCAGAGCGTGCTATAAACGACACTTTTTTTTTGCCTCAAAGGAAATATGCACAAGGTTAAAGCTCTGTAAGATTCCCAAATTAAACCATGTCGCCACTGGGATGAGAATCTAAAACCAGGGACCCGGAATGCACGACAGTTACAAATTATTCAAGAGAAACGGTGGGTAGAATTGTTGGGCTCATTCAATTCACCTCATTTGCACACTGCTTCCACTTGTCTTCTTCAGATATTGGACAACTGTAACTTCTGTCATGAACGTTAGACGAATGGCCTGGCGAAAGCACCTCGGTATCTATGCATCGGGGCCTTCGTCCAACTCCATGTTCACGACATTCTCCCCTCCACTGCACGATCCATAGACACCATCACCTTCAACTTGCAACAGAAATTGCTGCAGAGACTTCTGGCAGCATCTGTGGAGAGAAAGCAGACTTAACGTTTTGGGTCCAGTGACCCTTCAACTTTTCGTTCACACAATTGGATGTTACCCATCCAGCTGTCTTACTACATAATCATTGCTTCTTTCAGACCAGCTCACACACAATTTCAGCCCTCCAGGTCTACACTCTGAAGCTCACAAACACTTGCATCATTGCATGTTTCTGCCACACTATCACAAGGACACAAATACTGATCTCATGCTTCTATATAGGATACACCTTATGGATCTTCACCTACTTTCTTCATGCTCACTCACTTTGTATTCTTCGGGAGACTTTTTTACCCACTTGTGAGACATGGGCGCCTCTGGCTGACTAGTATTTATTGCCTGTCCTGAGTTGTCCTTGAAAAGACAGTAAATCTCCATGGCTTGCATTGCTATTTAGAACAGTGGGAAAGGCAGGCGGCCTGTCACAACTCAGACCTTTGACCATTCAATAGTTGGACATATAGAGTAGGGTCAGAGGTACTATAATGAGTTACGGGTACCACCACAGTCCATCAAAGGGCTCATCCAATTTCAGTCCGGTAAGTTGGCCCATGGTCAGTCAGGAATTTGGTCCTTATAAAATTGGAGTGGGGGGTTCCATGTTTTAGTAGTACAGCAATTGGGGCACTCTTCAGTCCTGCAGGTTATATGCATTAATGGTCAGTTTTTTTGTTGGGTAGTCCATGGTCAAAGTGGAAAGCAGTAGTGTGGGAATGGGCTGCGCTGGACAGGATCACTGATGGAATGATTACGGTGAAAGTTAGTCATTCCAGATAGAAGTTTGAACTCTTAGATGATAGGAGAGTGTAAGAAAATAGGAGAGTCCAGGAGCATGGCAACTGATAAATCTCAAACACTTTGGCCACTGCACGGGACAAGTGTTTGGAAAATAAAGGGACGGTAATTTTCGAAACCATGGCTTAAGGGCAAATTTTGGAGATTCATGTTTATATAAAGCAGCTGGACAGAAATGAGGGAGGACAGCAACATAAGAGGGAAGGTGAAGGATTTGGGGTGGGAGGGGTGTGTTCTACATCTCAGGTGGAGCCTGCAAGACAGTCATGAGGACACAAAGGTGAAAATTTGCTATATACGATCCAAAGTCAAACGTACAGTAATACAAATGGTGTCATCACATGCAGAGTAGATGAAAGAAGTTACTGTTTTTCTCTTCAGGGACAAAGTAAAGTAATTTGAATTTGAGGCCCTACTAGGAGCATTGTATTAATCACCCAATCATTGATTCAATAATGACACTGATTTGTCATTCAATTGGACTTCATTAGCAGTCATTCATTTTCTAAATGTTGCAAAGTTGGGAAGAGTACTCATGGATTGGGATGTAGGAAGTTAGAATTTAGTGTTTGTTAAATGTTCAGGGGGAAAAACAGTGTGTGGTCCCTTTAAAAGATGATGTGCTTTTTCTATGCTTAGGGATTCAAAAAGGAAGTCAGTGGACTGCAGCTTGTGGGTTTGCCAGTGTAGAGAATACATCTGAATTGAAATATTTGTATCAAAAGGCCATACGGTTAGTAGGCCAAGTAGCAAATTTGTTTTGTGACCAAGACAACAAGTTTTGAATTTAGCCAATCAATTTGAACCAGGCATTTAGATACCAAAACCAATTAAATTTATATTTGATGGTTTTGATAACATAGGACAAATAATAGTGTAAGAAACTGATATGTCATCAAGGGTACAAAAGAAGAGGGCTGTTGGCCAAAGACAAGAGATTTAACTGCCATCTGCCAGAGTTAACAGCTCTCAACTCTCAAGAGAGAATCACTGGCTCTCACAGTCTCCTCTATGATTTAGAGAAAGCACCATCTAAATCAAAGGTATCAACTGCACAACTAGTTAATGTTTCTGACAGAAGAATCAACGGAGAAGGGCTCCTGACAGCCAATTTGACGGAAAAGGCACAGAACATTCCAGAAGACATGCAACCTAGCCGGAATTTCGAGAGACTGAATTCTTTTTTCTTTTGTTTAATAAGTGGAACAGCATGCAATTAGAATCTTGTTTTATATGGAAATAGCTAATAGTTAGAAAAGGTTTATTCAGTTTGTTAATAGCTTAGCTAATTTGTTCACTGTTGGATAAATACATTGTTGCTTGTTGATTGTAAGGAGTCAGGATTTGTTTTGATTACATTTTGATTGTAAAGTGACTAACCAATAGAAGTTGCTGAGAAGCAGTTTACACCACTTTTCACACTCCTTTTACAGATTATAGCATGAGATGCTCCTCTTTGAGTGTTTCGATTTTAGTTCTCAGAGGGTGTCAACCTCCTCTTTATAACTGAAGGATGAACATTAAGAAGTTATGGAGCAATCATGACCATTATATTGTTTGCACTAATTTCCTTCTTGGCATATCAGATGATAATTGAAAAGTTTCACTTGTGCTTTCCTTTTTTATTTCAGATCTCTTACTTGACACTGGAAGACAATGCTTCAGTGCTACCACATTTATACAGTGAGCTGTAAGTATGAAAAGGCATTCTCTGTGATATTCAGGGCAGCATTTTTGAGAAGGGATTTCTATCTAGTAATGTCAAAATGTCTCTTCTCCAATGTAGTATGAACATTTTGGTTCTACAACGTACATCTGGGTAAAGTTACATACCTCAGAATTCCTTATCAGGGCACATCATAGGCTTCCTTCCAAAGCCTCCATGGTAAACTGTGTCAGAACATAACATGCCACTTCATTGTGACTGATCTGAGGGCTCAGGTGTACCATTACTGAAACGGTGTTCTCTTTCTGACATTCTCCACAGATATTTGCTCATATAAGGGGGTGAGGTCAGGAAGGTGAGACCTTCATAGTTATATCTGCCAGTACAGGAACTGAAACCACATTATTGAGGTCCCTCTACATCACAAACCTGCCATCCAGCCAACTGAGCTAATTCATTCCCAATATTCACCACCAAATTTGAGACTAAATAAGAATACCTAGCATTTGTGACAAAGGATCTTGGTGAATCTGCCAGCTAACCACACCATCACATAGGAAAGACCCTTATAGTATCATTATGTACCTGGCAGTGACTGTGTATGATTGCTTTATATCTAAGTAATTCATAATGTTGACATGATCAAGGAATTGAGGAATTAAATTATATTTTGTATAATTGCAGTTAGTTGTTAAACAATTTCTATAAGGAATAAGCATTTTTTATAATTGTTGATGGAATGTATATGTCACTGAATAGGCCTATATTTATTGTCCATCCTTAATTGTCTTAGGGAGGATCATTGGTGGTGAAGGGTGTGTTTAAGCTGATACACAGTGAGCTGCTTTGTTCTGGATGGTCTAAAGCATCTTGAGGCAAAGGACAATACTCCATCAAATCCCTGACTTGTGCCTTGTAGATGGTTGACTAGACTTTGGGGAGCAGGAGGTAGGTCACTCACCATAGAATACCTGAGCTCTGGTCTGCTCTTGTATTTATGTGGCTGATCCAGTTCAGATTCTGATCAATGGTAATCACTAAGATGTTGATATTGGGATATTCACCAATGTTAATGCTATTGATTTTCTATTGTTCGAGATGGTCTTTACCTAGTTCTTGTGAGGCTCAAATGTTAGCAGCCCATGCCTGGATGTTGTCCAGTCTTGCTCTATTTGCACATAGACTCCTTCAGCATCTGAGGAGACATAAGTGGTGAACACTGAGCAGCATTCAACAGGATTATACTTGGCGGACTTCATAATGGAGTGAAGGTCATGGGTGAAGCAGCTAAATATAGTTGAACCTATGACACTACCCTGAGAAACTCCTGCAGAGATGTCCTAAGGCTGTGATGACTGGTAGCACAGTTAATAACAGATTGCATCACATTACTGAATGTCGACTGATGCGGCAGTAGTTGGCTGAGTTAGATTTGTCCTGCTTTTTGTGCGCTGAAAGTACCTTTTTATTTATTCAAGGAGTATTGCATTACTTGCTGGGCTGACATTTATTGCCAATCCCTAGTTGTCCTTGCAAAGGTGGTGATGAGTTGCCTCAAGAACTTCTACAACCCATATGCTTCTAGCTGGAAGTGGTCACGGATTTGGAAGGTGCTGTCAAAGGAATCTTGGTGAATTCCTGCAGTGCATCTTGCAGACAGTATATACTGCTACTACTGAGCGTCAAAGTAGAGGGAGTGAATATTTGTGGATGTTGTGCCAACCCAGTGGGCAGTTTTATCCTGGATTGTATCAAGATTCTTGAGTGATTTTGGAGCCACGCACAACCAGACAAGTGTGGAGTATTCCATCATACTTGTTTTACAACACAGAGAAAGGCAGCCAACTTAAATCAGCCTTTCTACCTCTGTATTTGCAACACAGTAAAACTAAACCATCGAAGAGTCCCAATCATACTTTTGAATATCCAGACCCAG